AAATATAAATATCATCGAGCGCAAGCATTTAAAAAATTTTAAAAATTGCAATTAATAATAAAATAGATTAAGATAAAATAGATAAAACAAAATAATAATTATATGTACATAGATATAGTTAAGATGTAATATACGTAAGTGCAATATAATTTTCAGTAATTGAAAATTTTAAAATGCATGTTAATTAATTGATCAAATTTAAATTCAATGTAATATTAATGTATAATAGTATAAATAGTATTAATAGTATATGTAATATATACAGTATTATATATAGTACTATATATTATTAATATATTATTATATATTAATATATATTTTATGTATAGAAAAAATAAAATTAAAAAAGTAAAAATAAAATTTAAATAGTTTAATATTATAGTTTAAATATTCTTTCATTCTAATAGACGTTTATCAGATAAAAATATGAAACTTTTAAAAAATAATATTGAAGTTATTATAAAAAAAATGAATAAAATTACCCTTGACAACTTCCAAATTAGCTTCTTCTTTAGATAATATACGTGAACGTTCTGTTTCTTGATGAGCTACGACTTCCTGGTTGTACCTAGCTTGAGCAGCTTTCAATTCAAGAGTTAAGCTTGCAGCTTCTTTTTCCAATGCTGAAATTTTTTCAGTTAATTGTCTATTATCCATGATTGCTTTTTCTTCTTTTTCTCGACTATGTTCAAGTTCGAGATGAAGAGCAGAGAGACGGCTTTCTAATTCGGCAGTTAGCGATGACGCTTGTGATCGAGAACTACGTTCCTTCGATAATTGTCCCTATAGAATTATATATTAGAAGATAATTTTATCATTAAAATATCTTATTATTTCTTTTTAAATATAAAAACTTACTTGTAATGTAACCACTTCCTGTTGTAAATTGTCTCGTTGCGCTTGTAATTGTGCTCTTGCCACTTGTAATTCATTTGCCATTTGTTCTGCAGCTTGACGAGCAACAGTAATTTCCGTAGCTTGTTTCCGTAATCTTGTAACTGTTTCCGTTTCTCTTTCTAATTTCGATTGCATTTCTTTAATTTGTTTTTCTAAACTAGTTACACGTTCAGAGGTTTGTTGTGAATTACTTGCATCGCGTGCTCTTTTTGTCTGTTCTTCATCAAACTTCTTTTTCAATTCTACAAATAATGATTCTGCTTTTCTACGTGATTCAGTTTCATGTTCTACCCTACGTTGTGCTTCTTTATAATTATGTCTTAACAAAGTTAATTCTTTGTCAGCTCTACCTATTTCTTCACGTAATTCAGTTTCTCGGCGTGTCATAATTTCCAATTGTGTTGTCAAAGCTTTTTGCCTTGATTCTAAAGATTCTACTTGCCTTTTTTCTTTATCCAATAAATTTTCTAATTGAGAAATTTTTATATCATCGCTTGTACCATTATTGATATGATTTTCTAATCCATCTACCGATTCTTTCCCACTAAAAGCTAATAATTGATAATCTCCTGAATATGTAAAACCAATAAAAGGTAAATGATTTCCCGAAAATGCTTTTGGTACTGGAAAACTTTCCTCTGGTCCATCTTCTTTGTCAACATCTTCAAAATTGCTAGTATCATCATCACCAGAAAGTTCTGGCACAACAGGAGGCACACATTCTCGTAAATTTTCAAATGTCCATTGATCGTTTTTAAAGAATAAATGATTTTTTATTTCTTCCACGCCATTTCTACCCAAACGTTTAGTTCTATCCGTAAGGAAGCCACATATCAAATTCTTGGCAGAGTGAGAGATATCAACTTCTTGTGGAAAATGTAATGAATTTCTATGATCCATGATTTTTGAATATGTTCCAACTAATGAATCTGCATAAAACGGAGTATCGCCAACAAGCATTTCATACAAAAATACACCAACTGACCACCAGTCGCATTCTCTTCCATATACACCTTCACCACCTTGAGATTGAAGTACTTCAGGTGATATGTAATCAGGTGTACCTACTGCAGTATCAGATCGAACAAGACCATCCTAAGAAATATATATATATATGATTGAATATTTTTATATAATGTTATATTTTTATATAATGTTATATTTATTTGATATTATAAATTATAAATTTGATAATAAATACTACAGAAAATATACATACAACATCCATTCTCATACAAGTGCCAAAATCTGCAAGTTTTAAGTGACCATGCTTGTCAAGTAACATATTATCTGGTTTTACATCTCTATGAACAAATCCCATAAGATGTATTGCATCTAATGCAAGCACCACTTCTGCGCAATAAAATTTTGCCCATTTTTCTGGTACATCATAATTTGACATTAAGTTCACTAAATCACCACCTGGCATGTAATCCATTACCATGTATAGATATTTTTGATCTTGAAATGCAAAATGAAGTTGAACTATCCACTGTGAATTGGCATGTGCCATTATATCACGTTCTTCCCAAAAAAATGCTGAATCTGATCGTTTAATCTATAAAATATATAAAAACGAAATATATACAAAATATATATAAAGATCATCCATTTATAATATAATTGATATATTTTTTACCATTTCAAATTTACTGAGTAATTTCATAGCATATACTTTTTGTGTAGATTTATGTCTCACTAACTGTACTTCTCCAAATGCCCCACGACCTATTACTTTTATTAAAGTGAAATCATCTGTACGCATTCGCATTTTACAAATATCTTGAGCTACTGAGTCATCTGAAAATATATTTGTTAATTTTAATTTATTTTACTATTTTATATATATTTTATACTATTTTATATATTATTATATAATTTATATATATAATTTTACTATTTTACTATTATTAAATTTTGAAAGATTAATATAAGTAACAATATAGCATTAATATAGAATCAGGCATTAATATATAATACAGTATCATATTATATTATAATATATAATACATTATAATCACAGCATTAATATATAATACATTAATATTTTTTAAAATATTTTAAATGAAAAAAAATTGTTACTATATTATTTTTATATTATTTATTATTTTAATATAATTTATTTTTTAATAATAAAATTTTTAAATTTTTAGAAATATAAGCTTTATAATAAAATAATAAAGTATCTAATTTTTAATACAATATTAATATAAATATTATTTTATAATAATAAAAAAATTAAATACTTACATCTATTCATATATGCTTCTATATTTTTCATACGTTTAACGCTGGGATGATCACAATCTGCCACCAGGGCTTGAACTGTATCCAATAAGCAATCAATATTTGTAATGCTTCTTGGATCTTTTATACGTTCTTCCAGCACCCTCAGGCGCCTGCGCCTGTCTTCATCTCGTATTACATCCATTTCTCCTATTACAAGCTAAGAATAATTTCCTTCAAAAATGTTTTCTTTTTGATGCATCAAAAACAATGTAAAACAAAAGGCTACATGTAATATGAGCAAAAATTATGCACTGTAGCAATATTAAATGGGCAGTCCATGTTTCCTAAAATAATAAAATAATATATTTTTTTTTAAAATATTTAGATATAAATAATAACGTATAATTATTGTTCTTATAATTTTATAAAAATTATGAATATTATAAACTTATTATATAAATATCTAATAATAAATATCTAATCATATTATAATTATATTAATATTATAATATAAACATATCATCAATAATTCAATAATAAATTTATAATATTATATTCATATTATATCTTATATCAATTATGCATTAATATGTATGTATTTAACTAATAAAATCAAAATTATAATTTAATTATAAAATTAAACAAATGTCTTATATTAAAATGACACAAAGTAAAAGTTTAATAAAATTATCACTTTCATGTATAGCTTTTAAAAAAAAATAAATAAATTAAATAACACACATATTTATATTTAAAATGCATAAAAATTTATGGAAAAATACAGAATACAATATATGATTACTCAACATAATTTAAATACAATAAAATATTATTTATTAAGAAATAGTGATTATATCGAATGATTTATAAAAAATAAATATTCAATTATTTATAAAAATAGTATTTTTTAAATCAACATTTATTTTTTTCATTAATGCAAACAAAATTTTTCGCGTTCATCTTATTACTTTTACGGAAAAATTTTTATAATACAAATGCAAATTATAAAATTTACTAAACAACTTGATATTTTCTTTTCAATATTTCAATGAAAAATAAAAAATTCATGAAGTGACAATTCGAAAAAGTCTGTCAAGAAGCTTGAAGAGGTAAGGTGGATCCCATGCAGGTACTTCTGAATCCGTCATAAAAGATTTTCTAAATATTCCGTATTTTTCATCATTGATTAATTAATGTCAGAAGAAAATTCATTCTAACGTACCTAATATCACGAATACCGTATCCAGTACTTCGTCTAATTGAATAAAAATACTATAAAATACATTATTTTTCTACGTAAATTGGTCGCGATTGCACACAGCTGAGCCGTGCATGCGCCATTGGAAAAACTCACAACGGTCATCAAATGAAAATTCGCGGAAAACTTAAAATAATCATTTCATTTTTTGATCCACATAAGATAATCAAGAATCCTCAATTTTTATTTAGAAAAATTAACAGATTCGAACTTTCACATTATTTAATTTGAAAATAAATTAATATTTTTGATGAGATTTTTGGTTATTTACACTGTTCTTGACACCGTTTAAATGTTCGTTGTTTCAAAATTGACAACATAAATATCACCCTTCCTTCATATATATATATTTATTTGAATCAAATAAAACCCAAAAAGTTTGACGTATTATCCAAAACTATATTAAAAATCATTGAGATGGAGCATCAACGACTTCGGAAAAACGATATAATGGATTGAAAGCATAACTAAGATGGCGTAGTATTCGACGCACTAAGTAAGATACAGGTTTTGCACTTGTACTATCTACTTATAATCTAGAATTTCTATAGTTAATCTGAAAACCGTTCTCAGAATTGCAATTCTGGATAAATTACATGATTTAAAACTATATAATGCATCATACAGTTCTGTAATATGGAAAAATACTTAGTTTTCCCGCGCGTATTTTGATGTACATTGAACAGTTTTACGAATTTTTTTTAGCACTGTTTATATCATATTTTATATTTATAGCGATAATACATAAATAGATAGGTATGTATAATAATCAAACTTATTATATTAAAGTATTATTTTTTTTTAATGTTTAAATCTTTTCTTACAATTCGTTTTTCTTTTATTTTTTTCTATTCTTACCTTTATTATTACAGTTTTAATCAACACATAATTGCGTGATTTCTATTTAATCTCATACTCTGAATTCTGCAGAGATGGATCTGCCTTGTGATTGGCAGATCAACAAACAAAAACTTTTAGAACGTACTCAATATTTATTAGCAACAGGACAATGGTCTGACTGCAAGTTTGTAGTTGGTCAAGAACCCCATCAACAAACATTAAAAGTACATAAATTATTTTTAGCTATGTCTAGTCCTGTTTTTGAAGCTATGTTTTTTGGGGGTATGGCAGAAAAAAATGATTTGATATCTATTGAAGATGTTCAACCAGAAGCTTTTAAAGCTCTATTGGAATACATATATACAGATCGAGTTGATTTAAATTCTTTTGAATTAGCTTGTGAATTATGTTATTGTGCCAAAAAATACATGCTTCCTCCTTTGATAAAAGAATGTACAAAATATCTATGTTCTGATGTGTCTCCAAAAACAGCTTGCAGAGCATATGAATTTGCTAGATTATTTGATGAACGTACATTAATGGAAAAGTGTCTTGAAATTATTTGCACAAGGACGAATGAAGTTTTAAGAGAACCTAATTGGGAAGAAGTTGAATTAGAAACATTATTAACAGTGTTAGAACAAGAAGATTTACAAATAAACTCTGAAGTGGAATTATTTATTGCAGTGGAACGTTGGGCAAAAGCTGAATGCACAAGAAAATCTCTTGATCCTAATGATGGAAAGTCTTTAAAATCAGTAATTGGTAATGCATTATCAAAAATTAGATTTTTAAGTTTAAGTGCTCAGGAATTTGCAGAAGGACCAGGAATGTCGCCATTGCTTACTCAAGATGAAACTTTTGCAATACTCATGAATACACTATGTACTGGGAATAAAGCACCTATGCCTGAAGGATTTTCAACTAATTCACATAGTAGAGTTAATATATGCAAACCTCCAATTACACATATAACTTGTTCGCTTGTAAGTTGAATAAATATTGTATAGCAATTTTCAAATTTTCAGTACCTTTTATAAGATTACATTTTGTAGAAGTCAGTTAATCCATGTTATAAACCAGTTGATCCATATTTTAAATCATTTATGCCACACTATTGGTCTTCATATGATCAACCTGTATCTATTAATGAAGCTGAATCTAGCGGTACATTATCAAATGCATTGCCAATAATGGGAGCAAGAAAGGATGCTGAAAATTTATCTATGAACAATTCATCTCCTGTTGTAATTGAAAGTGCTATGCGAGAATTAACAAAACAATATTGCTTAAGATCTTTACCTCGAAATAGTATTATAACAAAATGTGTTAATACAAATGTATTAGAATGTTCCGTAACATTTAGTGTAGACAAAAATATTTGGGTATTGGGTGTGCAAGTACCTACACAAGTAAGTTAAATAATATTAAGGACACATAATATTTAGGTTTTATATTAAATGTCATATTTTTATTACAGATTAATGACAATACTTATCGTATTGATAGCATTTCATATACCGAAGTTTTATATGCTCATCTTCTTGATTCAGATAATACTCGGTTAACTTATACACATTTTTCTACGAAAGTAAAAATGAATACTCTTGTGGAAATTACATTTAATCGAGCTGTTTGTATTCTAAAGAATAGGGTATAAATCTAAATAATTATTTTAATATTGTAAGATGAAAATTTTTTAATTATTTCTACTCTTTTAATTCTAGGTTTATCGAGTTGGGGTAGTATTTAATGCACGTGGCAAGTATCCAATAGGAATTTGTACACAAAATATGACCTGTGATTCTGTATCCTTTTCATTCCGCGTTGGTAATAGTACAGATAATGTACGAGATGGTCTCATTCGATCTATAGTTTTTACACATCATGATACCAATAATATGTAATACCAATAATAAAAATGGCTTACATAAAAAAAATGAATTTAAATACGTATTTTAAATTTTAATGATGAAATAGTATATTTTATTCTGTTTTATACTTCTGATGTATTATTATATTTTTTAAATTATGTCGGTGCTATCATTAAAAATTGTACAAAAATTTATTGGTTCTAGTTATAATAAGAATCTAATTTGTATAAAACAATTCTTTTAATTTATATAAATGTTAAATGTTAACGTTTTTATTATATAAAAAAAAGTCTGACTTTAAAAATTGAAATTTTTAATTAATAGATTACATATTAATATATGTTTTTGTTTATTCTAAAATTATTTTTGTTGTATTAATCAAGTTATAATTTTTAAGAAATTGTTATTGTATAAAACAATGTTATAAAAAAATAATTGAAAATTGAAGATATGGCTATATTAATAATATATAAAACGTCATTTGTTTGTGTTATTTTTTATTTAATTGTATATATAAAAGAAAATAAAATTGCATATTTTCTTAAATATATAACAAAAAGAATTAACAAAATTTATGTAAAAAATTTTTATTTATTTCGTTTAAATTTTGTAATTTTTTTTTTTTTAATATTTTAATATCCTGATACATAAATATATTATATAACTTGTTTTAAATATAGAATATATATTTTTTACATAGATTTTATAACAATTATAAAACTAATATAAATATTAGATTTTTTGTTCTTTTTTATTTATTTTCTTATTATATACATATAAAAAAAACTTTTTTTATAAAATATAATCAGTCTATATAGTAATATATTTTTTATAAAATAAAAAAATAAGAAAATAATACATTCTAGATTAATTAAATTTGTGTCTTGAACATTGGATAATGTTCTTACAATAATTATTAAATTTATACATTGTCGACATAAAATGTATGATATAATTAAATAACTTTTAATACAAGCAAATAATAATTTTGTAAATTTATATTTTAAAAAAATTCTGTGTTTTTGATTGTCTATTATGTTTTATGTATAATAAAGTCCCATGTGTCTTTCCATCTTAATTTTAAAACTTCCTTGGCACTCAAATTAGTTGTACCATAACTAAGAACACTAAATTTTTTAAATATATAAATGATAAAAATTAACCATGTAATAATACCAAATTTTAATATATACATTAAAAAATTGTGCCGATACCGAATTCTGAAAATAAAAAATTGGTTTGGTCTTTATATAATGTATAAAGTATATAAGAATCAATATTACAATAAACGGACAATAAATTTATGTAATTATGAATAAATGATCTCTTTTTTAAATGAAATAATAAATTCTCTCTAATAAAAAATTCATAAAACTCTCATGACATGTATATTTCAATTATTTTAATTTTTTAATTTTAATATTTTGAAAAATATTAAAAATCATCAAATTATGTTTTCACTAAAAAAAACAAATATATATTATATATATATATTAATACTTATATATATATATATATATATATATTGAATTTACATTTCCCAAAAAAATGTAAAATAAATTTTTTTTTAATTATTTTAATAATTATAATATTTTTATTATTCTATTAATAATAATAATAAGAGAGAAATAATTATTTTCCAACATACCTAATAAGATAATACAGATGTTCTATTGTTGCTGCTGTAAGCAATAATTTAAAGATGAATGCCGGTAAATAATGATGAAGAAACAGAGTCTTTTCAATAAATATAAAAGGTAAAAAATGTAACAAATATCCAGTTAATAAGATACTTCCAATATTAGAAAATTTGTTCCATTCTTCGTGTGTAATATCAAAACACATTCGTCTTCGTCTTAAAATATAAAATATTAAAAGAAGTGAATATATAATCATACATATTGTGCCAGAATACCAAATTACTATATTTCCTAAAAGATGCACTTGAGCCTATTAAAAAAATCAACAAACATATCAATATTATAATATCAATTAATATCAATGAATATTTATAATATTAAAATATTAATAAAAAATATTAATATAAATAATAATTTGTGAAGAAAGAATTTTTATATATATATATGTAATAACTTATTATATAATATATATATATATATATATGTTTTTTTTCACAAATTATTATAATTATATATATTTACATATATATATTTACATTACTATCATTGGAAACCCAATATGCAATTCCTCTAGACATTAATGGCCAATCTAAGGGATCACTAGAATACATGTGACTATTTTGTCCTTCTTGGCCACTAAATAGCATTTTTATTTGTAATTCTATAAATTTCTCCCAAAAATTCAAAGTAGTAGCTTGTAATGGAATCATTTCAGCATTAATCAAGTCCCTTTCTCTTTGTTTCTGATCTTCACTTTTAGTATATCTATGTTCTTCAACATTCCATATGGAATCTGTTTGATCTATTAATCTATCTGCAACTATTTCATGCTGATTGAAACCCCAATCAGGCAATTGTCTTCCACTAAATTTTAATGCATAATCTGTATTTACATGTATCAATCGTATTTGACTTTGAATTGCATGCCAAACATCACCAGTACTATCTTTATTACTAATCTCCACTTTCCAAAAATTTTGAGCAGGCATAGATACATTATAATCAATATAACAAGATACTTCTTGACTCTGAGGTGTCATTGGAGCAGCAACATCATGTGAATTTAATGCTCGACTTGTAATTCCATGTACTAATTGTATTATATCACCATGCTTTATTGGTTCACTAGGTTTTGTAACAACTAAATCATTTCTTTCTGGTTTTTTTACAATCCACCAATTGTTAACATCTTTAAATGAGTAACAAGTAACTTGTTGTTGATGAGAACTACCTCTTCCATCTGGATATCTTAATGGATACATATGATTATGACTATGAAGCCAGCAAGCTCTTCCATATGTATGTCTTAAAGTAATCTGTGATCCATGTGTAACTTCAAGAGGTTGGCCTTTTGTAATGCTAGCTAAACCACCATCTAAACTTGCTTGAAAAGCACTTGTCATTACTGAATCATGTGGTCCAGCTTTAGAAAGTGTTGTTAAATGTATATAAAACACAGTCAAATATATAATACAAATAATACCTAATATTACAAAAATTCTTATTATAAGATGAATGCATAATGCTGTACTAGATAAAGTTTTTCTCGGTATTAAATTCCAATAATCATAAGCAATTAAAAATAATGATAAAATCAATGAATATAATCCAACATATTTGACACTGAAAAAAATTTATATTAAATTTAAAGCAATAAATTTAAAGCTAAAAATACATATAAATTTTTGAATTCCTTTACCTACCATAATGCACATGTTAAATTTGCAATTCCTAAAATTAACCACATCCACCAAGATAAATTTGTTGGTTGATCCATTACTTTTCTAAATTTCATTATACATATTAATCCAAATAATGAAAATTGCATTAAAATACTTTCCATTAAAATAAATCTAGATTGAGTTAACAAAGCATTATCTAAAATGATAATAAAAGTATATTTTTAAAATAATATATACGCGTATATATATGTGTATATTAAATGTTCTAATAAATAATAAAAATATAATATAATAAATTACCGAATAATAATAAAGTTCCCGCTAAAGTAGCAGTCCATTGTTTTAGGCCTAATTCCAAAATTAAATGATAAGCTGTGGGAATTAATAGACTGCCGCATAATGCCGGTACTAATCGTAATGCGAATAAAGGCACAATATCCGAATAAGGACTGCCTATTCTATCAAATTTAAATTGACCATCGAAACCAGCTATATACGCTGCTGCAGAAATAAGTTGCTTTCCTAAAGGAGGATGTGAATCAAAAAAGAATGTTTTTTTCATATAAAGCCCTACATATTTTCCATAATGTAATTCATCAAACCTGTTTCAAATAACATCTATAATTAATGTTATTTTAATTAAAAAATATACATAATTTAGAAAATTTTCGAAATCATATATATACAGTATTATACATAATTAATTTATATATTATATGTTATATGAAAAATAAGTTTGATTTTACATAAAATAACTTACACTATACTCCGTGGTTCTTCTAAACGATAAAATCGAGTAACAATTCCAGTTACCAATAAAATAACTGAAATTAAATCAATCTCTAAACTAATTTTAATTCGAGTTTTTAGTGCTGTATTTACCGGTATTTCTACTGTTTTAAATTTTTCGATTGTATTTGTAATTTCATCTTTCTATTTAAAAAAAATTTAATTATATTAGATCATATGAAATATGTAAAATGTATAAATATATATATATAATATATATGTTTAAAAAATTTATATATAAATATTCAATATAAAAAATAAGTTTGAATTGATGGTTTAAAATATTGAATAAAAAGCAAAAAAAAAAAAAAAAAGAATTTAAAAAAGATTTAAAATAAAGTTAAAAATTATATACAAAATATACAATTATTTACCTCATCTCGTTGAACATTTTCAGTACAATTAGTAGAAATATGTTCATACTCAAACTTGGCGCTTTGTACTTGCGATTGCTTGTTATCTAATATTCTTCGTCTTCGACGAACTATCATTGCATAAATTTATTATTTGAAATATCGTTATAATCCGTATGCGATATTTTTATTTTCTTAATTGCTATTATTTTGAAAAGTCAAAAGAGACGTTACCAAGCCATTACTTTGATCTAGTGTCGATCCACATCATCAAAGAATAGATTTAACATAACACTATCTTGTCTTGAAAATTTAAATTTCTGAAAAAGTGTTATCTCAAATTCTTACCGCTATATAAAATATTGAAAGTATTAAATATTTTAATAAAATATTGGAAACATGTGATATTAAATTAATAAGAACGGTCACAGGTTATATTTATATGATTGTATATGTAATATAACGGTACTATCTCTGAAAATCCCTGTGAGAATTCTTTCTGCGCATCGCGGTAATTTTATATATTGCTTTATTTATAAAATAAAGAAATTTCTTTGAAATGTGAAAAAATTTTATTATTTAAAATTTTTTTGAAATAATATAATATCAATAACAATATATCATGTAATATTCAATAAATTATAGACTTAATTTTCTTTATTTTCAAAATACCTTAATCTATTTAATTATAATTATTAAGTATATATTTATTTTATTGTAGATTAAGACATGGATAATGATAAAATTTCTTGTCCTATCTGTTCTGAAGAATTTTCTTCTACAATAATAGAAAATCATGTTAGTAAATGTTTATTTTTAAATGAATCAACAAGCAAAGAATCTTTTAAAGATGAAAGCCCTGCAAGGAAATATGTAAAATTAAATAATACAAAAGCAAAAAAGAGTGATTTGGGATTAATAAAAAAGAAAACTACTGTAATAGAATCATCATCAATAAATATAGATTCTCAGATACCAAAAACTTCATTTAACACTAATGTAATTTTTTTCTTTGGATAAAAATATAAGAATGTATAATAGATAATTAATAATAGTAATTTTTAGACAGATAAAGAAATTAAAAAATTATTTGGAAATGATTATATACCTCTTGCGGAACGCATGAGACCTACAACACTTTTAGGATATGTTGGACAGTTACATATTCTTGGACCATCTACTATTCTTTATCAATTATTAAATAAATTTGAAATACCAAATATAATTTTATGGGGTCCACCTGGTTGTGGAAAGGTATTGTAAAATAATTTTTTAATTATATGTAATTTCTTAATTAATTTCTTAATTATATTTATAAAACAATATAATTTTATGTAAAAAAAATTACAAAAATTTACATATAATTACATATGTTATATTTACATATAATATACATATAAAGTTTTATATAAATTTCAGACATCTTTAGCAAATGTTATAGCTCACATATGTAAAACTAAATCAAATGGTAAAATAAGATATGTTAAGTTATCTGCAGCAATGGCTGGTGTAAATGAAGTAAAAGAAATAATAACTATAGCTACTAATGAATTAAAATTTAATAGACGTACAATAGTTTTCATGGATGAAATACATCGTTTTAATAAAAATCAGCAAGATGTATTTTTACCACATGTTGAATCTGGTATTATTACATTAGTTGGTGCAACAACAGAAAATCCTTCTTTCAGTTTAAATTCAGCACTTTTAAGTCGTTGTAGAGTCATCGTTTTAGAAAAATTAAATATATCTAATTTGATATGTATACTAAGCAGAGCTGTAATATCATTAGAAGGAATAGTGCATAATTCAAATAAAATATTGGAAAATACCACTCAAGTACCAAAATTTATTATAGATGAACCAACCATAGAATGGTTGGCAGGAACTTCTGATGGTGATGCTCGTATAGCATTAGGTGGTTTGGAATTAGCAGTTCAATGCAAATTACCAAACAATGAAGATTTTTTGAAGAATGGTCCTGTGATTATTACATTAGATGATATTAAAGAAAGTCTTAAAAAAACTCATATGTTATATGATAAGAAAGGTGACCAGCATTATGATATGATTTCAGCTTTACATAAATCTGTTAGAGCAAGTGATGAAAATGCTTCTCTTTATTGGTTAACAAGAATGATATTAGGTGGAGAAGATCCAAATTATATTGCACGAAGATTAGTTAGAATGGCATGTGAAGATATTGGTTTAGAAGATCCAAAAGCTCTTGGTACATTCATAACTAATAATTATCTATTCAAATCATTTAGTTTAGATTAAATGGATAGTACTATAATTTTGTTAATAATTTGCCTATAATTTCTGAAATAATTTTCAGAAATTGCCATACATACAATGCATGGCTGTAAGATGATAGGAATGTCTGAATGTAATGTCCTTTTAGCACAATGTACGATATATTTAGCCAGAGCTCCAAAATCTAGATTGATGGAAGATGCACTTAGAGCTGCTCAAAGAGTAGTAGCTGAACATAAAGGACCTCAACCAGGTGTACCTTTACATTTAAGAAATGCTCCAACAAAGCTTATGAAAAATTTAGGTAAACAATCTATTTTATTTCTTACTATAATTGCTACTATAAAATTTTTACTATTTAAAATATATTTCATATACACTTTTCATTTTAGGATACGGTAAAGGTTACAATATGAAACACAAAAATGAATCAGGTTTGAATTATTTGCCAGAAGGATTAGAAAATGTAAATTTTTTTGATTATCATTAAAATTATATATGTGCATACATATATTTTAAAAAGAAAAAAATGTATATAAACTATTATAATATAGTTATAACATTAAGAAATATATTTTAAAAATTATAATAAAAATTTCTATAATAAAAATTTTTTAAACAAGTAGCTTATATTAATTATCAAAATGCATAACTTTAACAATTTAATGTTTTATAATTGAAATAAAATATTATAGATTTTTAAAATATTTATTAAATTTAAGATAATCTTTCATAATAAAATGATTAAAATTTTTTTTATTTTATCATTAATAATTATTTATTTATATATTTACATTAATATATTTAATATTTTTTCCATATAATAGTTTTATTGTTTGCAGGCATATCATAAATATTTATTAACTTCAATCCATTTTTTTCTGCTAATTCCTTTAAATCATTAATATCTCTGAGACCCCACCTTGGATCTTGAAGTCTTAAACTTTTATCAAAATTAATATTACTTTCTGGCGTTATTTTTCCATCTATAGCATAAGGTCCATATGTAAATAAAATACCATTTTTTTTTAATAATTTACCCGCATTACTAAATAAACCAATAGAACATTCATAAGGTGAAATGTGTATCAAATTTGCATTATATATATAATCAATGCTGGCTTCTTTAAACATATTATTCTCCCAAATATGAAAATCTGTCTTAATATCTATATGTAAAGGTTGCTTTATATTTGAAAATCCATTTGCATAAGCTGTTATACTTTCTATTAGTTTTAGATCATATTCTGAAGGATAAAAAGTTATTTCAGGAAAATGAGAAGCAAAATGGGCTATATGTTGTCCACTACCAGATGATATCTCTAAAAAGACTTGATCTGGACTATGTTGAATATATTTTTGAAGAACTAAAAGTATTGGATTCTTGTTACGATCAGCTGCAGGATAAACAAGTTTTTTGGTTGCCATACTGGTAGATAAACTGAAATAAACAATATTATTTTTATATTATCTAAATTTTATACATATAATTATTTAAAAATTATTAAGGAAAGAATAAAAAATCTTACCTACGATTAACAGCAGAGTAGACAACTGTATTCATATTTAGTTATTGCATTGATATTTTTTGATCTGAAAAATTTAAGTATGAAAGTTTTGCAGATTTCCATGGAAAATAAATAATTATTTAAAATATAATAAAATATAATAAAATATTAATATTAAAATGTGTTAATTTTAATTTACTATATTTCAATATTACATTAAATTGTAAATTAAATTATTTTTAATATATAATAAAATAAGTGTTTATGTAAAACAATAAATAAAATAAAAACGAATTTATTCAAAGAAATTTTTATTATATTTATTTAATAATAAAATTGTACAATATGTAATACATAATATTGTATACATAATAACTTAAGATTTATTAATTAAATGTTTTTCACACACATTTTCTAAACTAATTACACTAAATTAAATCAAGTAATATATGAATTATTTAGAGTAATTAATAATTTCTTTTATCATGGTTCTAATTTCTTTTATCTTTGCTTTTACTTGATTTTTCTTCTTGATTCTTTTTATTTTTCAATGAATTTGGTATATATACGGAATGTCCTGTTTTCTTCAAGTGTTCAAATAATTTATTTTTACTAGGAAATTCAATTTTACATGTAATACAACAATGTGTTAAATCTGATACTTCAATATTTTGTGATTTTTTCTTTGTATTTTTACTTTTTTTACTTTTAGATTTTTCATTATGTGTATTATTTATTTCTACATTAACAGATAATAATTCTGTTTTATCTTTTTCTTTCATTAAATCTTCTTCATATTCCTCTATTTTCTCATTAGATAATTGTTGATTATTTTCAACAATTTTATTTAATAATGCTTTTTTTTGTTGCTGTTTCTTACGTTGTTTTTTTGATAATAATATATCTTCATTAATATTTATATCTTCATCGCTAACTTGTTCTTTTATTGGATTTTGAATATATTCTTCATACTCCTCTATTTTGTCATTAGGTTGATTATTTTCAAAAACTTTATTTAATAATGCCTTTTTTTGTTGCTGTTTTTTACGTTGTTTTTTTGATAATAACATATCTTCATTAATATTTATATCTTCATCACTAATTTGTTCTTTTATTGGATTTTGAACATTCTTCTTTCGCTTTTTTTTTTTTTGTTTTTTGGATATTTCTTCATCTTCTTGATCAGAGATAATCTCATCTTCAGAAGTTAAATATTCATTATCATTTTTGTTTGATGCTACATAAAGAAAATCATTCATTTGAGGATCTGTAGCAAGTTTAAATTTTTCTGAATAATATTTTATATTTTCTGGTATTTTAAAATTTTCAAATTCTTCATCATCTGAGATTAGTTCCTCTTCTGAAGTTTGTTCTGCAGTATTATATTTGTTTGTATTATTTTGAATAGGATTTAGTAAAAAGTCAGGCATTTGTGAATTTATTGATAATTTTTTTTCACATTCTAAAATTAAATCAGAGTTTATATCACTTTCTTGAGAATTTATATCTTCTTGTATCATAGATACTTTTATTATTGCAATATTATCTTTATGTTTTTTAGAGTTTTCATGGTTTGTAAATGCTTTATGTGTTTTAAATATTTTATTGCAAGCTATACAATACATAGAATTATCATCTATTGTATTTTCATCATCGATATCTCCATCAGAAGATAAATTTTCACCAAATTCTTGAGCAAGATTAGCTTCAATATTTTTAAGTTCAGCTTCTATATTTGAAAATTTTGACCATTCTGACACTTTATGCTCTTTTAATTGTTTCTGTCTTTCTAATAATTGTTGTCTTTTTCGTTCTTCAACCTTCCTTAAATTTTCTTTTGCACGTTCAATTAATTTAGTTGTATGAATTTGTACTCGTTTATCGCGTTTACGTATAAAAGCAACTAAATTTCTTACTTGTTCATTTCTTTCTTTTTTAGCTTTATCTCGAACTTTCTTATTTTCTTTTTCAATAAGACGTACCACTCTTCTATTAGGAGCATTTCTTATATCATAAGGATCTAACCAAGCAAATGATTTTTTTGTATTATAACTTTGCCAATAAGCATAAAAGTTATGAACAACTTCTTTATATGAACTTTGGGAATCTCCAAATCCTGGAACTTCTTCATCCAAATCCCTTTCTTTTGTATATTCTAAGTCTTCAGCTGCTAATTTTTCAAACACATTACGATAAATAGTATAAAATCCTTTTTCATCATCTCCATATCCTTTGAAGCAAGTAGTTGAGAAATATTGAAAAAGATCAATAGAATCATCTTTATAATTTTCACCAATACCACCTTTTAAAATAGCATCACGATGATTATCATACCAAGTACGTTCATGAGGATCACTTAACACTTCCCAAGCTTGTTGAACAAGTTGAAATTGTTCTTTTGCTTCTTCTGGATTATTTAAATTTTTATCTGGATGCCATTTCAAAGCTAATTTTCTATAAGCTTTTTTTAAGTCATCATCAGAAGCATTTCGTGGTACCCCTAATACCTCATAATGACATTTCATTGTAGCAATAATTAATATTTCTTATTCACAATATTAAAAATTGTAGTTTAACTTCGCGTAATATAAAATTATGTAAATCATACACTACAAGAAGATTATTGAATTGATATCAATAAAATAATAAATATTCTTTTATTAATAGTTTTTTTTATCACATTTTATATTGTAACTTAAAATAAAACATATTTACATCAATAAAACTAAAATATATCTTACCTAATATTTTTTAACGATTATTTACAATAATGATCGATCTTAAAATTGTAAAAAATTATATAGTTTTCTTTCTAAATATAATTGCACTATAAAATTTTTTATTTTTTAAATATGATTACTATATAGAATAGGTTTCAAATTTTAGGTTATATATATGTATTTTCACATACGCATACAATGCATGTTCACATGAAGTTAGGTTCACGAGATATTAGTCACATTTATTTCAAGTCATACATTAAAGTAAGGCTATCATACTATATATTTTAAAATTATATAAATATAATATTTGTATTTTTATAAGTAAATTCTGTAATTTTAAATGTAATTCTTATAAGTAAATATGGATTTCTATCAAGCATCAACATTTACTTTAAAATGATAAGAAAAGATTTGTTATCAAATTATTAAATATATTTTGTCTAAGATTATTATATTTTTTCTTTATTATTTTTTTTATTATATTAATGAGATAATTTTATATTAATGAAATTAACATATTATCTATGTATTTATTTTATTAATAATAATATTAATAAAAATCTAATAAATTTTAAATGAATTTTTTAATTCAATTTTCTATTTTTTATAAAATAAATGTTTTAACAAAATCAAACATATTGTAACTTCTATTTTATTTTATATTGAATTAGAGAAAATTTTACTAGGGATCTTTTGACGTGGAACAGCTGATTGTATGCGTTATTCGTCTGACTATTCTCAACATCAAGATGGCCACGGTCGTGAAAGTACAGTAAGGATTGTATGATTTTTGGCATATATCGCCAGTTACGACGTTTGGAGCCGTTGTCATTAATATTCAATATTTTCGGTAAATATTTCTATGTTATTTTACATAGAACACGCGTTGATTTATTAAAATAATTATATAAACGCGATAAAATCAAAATTTTATAAATTGTCAGTGACATCTCGTGAACGTGATATAGCAGACGCCTCTAATTGCTTTTAATAGGTTTTCTTCGAGATCTTAGTGTATCGCGTTGTTACGATGGCCTTTGTGGTAGATGCTTGTCAAGCCCTTTTTGCTATGGATGAAGATTTCATTTGCTATCACCGAAAATATCTGTTATTAATATCAATATAACACTGATTATTCTCCGACTACTTTATAACAAGGTTTTGTCATTTATTTATTACGGGATTATTTGATTGCATTGTCAGTTAACGACTTGCTTTGAATTGTTTTTTTGAATTACTATTATCTTATATGTCGACAGAAAAACGTATGTTATAGATTTAATAATTTACATTTTTATATTTTTACAAATAAAACATGTGTGTAGCCTATATATTGTGTTTTTATATTGTCAAAACAAAAACTTTTCTTTTAATTAACTGACAAATTGATCTGCTTATAAATTTATATTATAATAATTTATTTAAGTTATAAAATTTTTTTCTTATATATATATATATTTATATATATATATTATATATATATAATAAATATATATATATATATATTTATATATATTTATAATAATGAAAAAAAATATCAAATAAAAAATATTTTATTTTATATAGGATTCAAAAATAAATTAATAAATATATCGAATAATGAAATAAAATAATGAAAATAATTATTACAAATTTATAAATTTATGAAACATTTTTTAATAATTTATAAAAAATTAAAAAATTCAATTCAAATTTTATTTATATATTTTATATTTATAACATTTAAATATATGTTATATATTTGTTGCAAAAATTTGTTTTTTTACTTCAATGTAAAATTGAATTTTAATTGTTTTTTAATAAAATTTTAAGATAATATATATATATATATATATATATTATATTAAAATATTATATTAATTAAATATAATTATATATATATAGATATATATAATATTTAATTATTATAAATATTATAATTTTTAATTATATTCATAAAATAAAAAATAAGTTAAAAAAATAAGTTTATTTTATTAATTTAATTTTATTAATATTAATTATTTTATGTTTTTTCTTTTCTTCTAATTATATTATATATATATATATTATATTATATATTATAATTTTGTTAATGATATAGTAATTAAATTTAATAAATTGTAGGTTGAATTTTAAAAATGACAGCGGGTACAAGCTTAGTAGTACCTATAGTTTTATGGGGTCGAATAGCTCCAACTCATTGCATTTCCTGTATCTATTTGTCCCGAGATCAAAAAACATTAGTAACAGGATGTTATGATGGTCAGATATGTTTGTGGCAAGTAGATCCTGAAACATTAAAGGTAAATATATATTTATCTTTCAATTAAATTTTAAAAACATTAATTAATAATTATTAAATAATTATATTATTAATTATATATTAAGATGACTCCAAGATGCTTACTTGTTGGTCATACTGCTCCAATAATGTGCCTGAGTCGCGCAAGTGTTATTATGGAACAAAATTTTATTGTCAGTAGTAGTGAAAGTGGAGAAATGTGCACTTGGGATTTAGTTGATGGAAAATGTAGGGAAGCTGTAAAACTCAGCAGTGTTCATACACAGATGTTGCCTTATGTCTCCGCTGGTGGAGAAGATGTTAGACTGTTTTGTTCAGGGTATGTTATAATTTCATTAATACATTTTGAAACAATATACACATTTATTTTAAAAATTTAAAGAATATTCATTTTGTTATTTTAGATACTATCCTGAGGTTTTAGTAATGGACCCTTTTAGTTTGGAGGTTTTATTTACCCTAAGTTCACGTGTTCATCCTGATTGGATCAGTGCTTTGCACGTTCTACGACCGGCCAAACGGAAAGGTCGGTTCTACGTGCATACAAGTTAGTTACACTCCATCACACCTATGCTTTATACCATAAACTGCTACCTTATCTGTTTTTAATTTCTTAACCAATCTATATTGTGCAAAAGTTTATTTTATGTTATTATACAGAAATATTATTTCATTATAATATAATTGAATTATTTTATTTAAATTTTAAATAATATTAATTTGCACAATATATTTGGTATTTCCTGGCTAATTAATTTTTTATATTCTATCTTTCTGCTCAACAGGTTTTTTATTTAGATACTGTTAATCAAAGTACATATTTTTGTGCACTATTATTTATTCAATTGAAATATGTAATAAATTTTGTAATATCTTTTTTGATAAAGTAATTAACAAGGATAAAACTTTATATATAGATATTTTTTATATTTTTAAAATTTTAAATTTTCTGCTAACTTTTCAAGCAATTAATCAAAAGAAGCTTTATGCTTTGGGTACATTAGAAACTTTGCATCTAACTATATATTTTTTTGTCAATAATATTTCATAATCATTTAAATTGATGGTAAAACTTCAATGTACATTATATTGTATTATTTAAATAATAATTTAAATATTATTGAAATTTTAATGAATATTATATTGTTGCAGCATGTTAATGAATCATATATGGAGACATATCAGTACTATTACAATGGCAATTAAGGCTCTCTCATTTTTTTCATATCTTTTTTTTCATTATAAATAATCATAAAATCAAATGAGCAGGCATTAATATTTGAATAAACCTTTCTTTTATGCTACTCTCCTTCATTCGCATTTCCTTTCACAAAATCATTATAGCATACATTGCATTTATCTACATTAATCATTTTCATACCATTTATGATACACTATTATCTATCGTAAGTATACATTATAGCTGATAATTTTTAATGTTTGAATGCAATGAATGCAATTGTATAAAAATTCTGTTTAATGTGGCTTTTTTATTATAATAGTATTATTTGATGCATTTCTTAATTTAATTAATTTGTAAAAAAAAATTTTTTCTTATGTATTTTACATAACAATATATGAAAAATTATTTGTATTTATTTTATTCCATAACATATATTTATAATAAATGTCTCTTTTTTTCTTTACAGAATAAAATTATAATTAGTTATTAAAGTATAGTGTTAAAATTATAAAAATTATATGAATAAATAATGTAAATAATATTTAAAAAAAAGATAATTGCATGTATTATAATTGATCAAGAGTTTTTTTTATAATATTTGCATTAAATATATTTTTTTTAATTATAAACATATAGATATAAATTTTAAGTACATTCTTGGAGATTTAATATTAAAAATTCATTAACTAGTAAAATACATAGCTAGTAAAATAAAATACATTTACAAATACATAAGATTATGAATTTGAATTTTGATTGGATTTTTTTTAAATAATTTATATTTGAAAATTAGCAATTATTACAAAATACTTTATGCATGATTCAAATAAGCATGAATTGAAATCTATTTATAGATATGACTTTATTTTATTGAAAAATAATTTTAAAATTTTATTTTGCATGAAATTATTACATTATATTATTCATTGAATGATCATTAGTTATTTTAAATATTTTCTTTTTTTGCTTTCAATATATTTATTTTTCAATATTAGAATTAAATTTTATAATTTTATAAAAAATTAATAATTTTTTATGCATTTATGATATTTATAAGGTGTCATATGTTAACACTTATTGGAAATTATTTTTTGCTTAAAATATTATGACACCTTCTTAGATATAGTTAACGCGCAACAGGCGCTTCCATTCATTTAAAGACGACGTTGTGCTGGCCTTAACGACGACTGGTATGGTCAAGGTGTGGACTCTTCTTGGGCATGAAAATCGTAATAGTGAACCTCTTTATGAACATGAAAGCAAACAAATACGATGTTTAAATGCACTTGCTATGACTTGTTGCCCATATAATCAAAGAACTGTATTAATTGTGTGCTCTAAACATTGGCAGGTATATGTTAATTATTATTATAATTTCTCAGATTAATTGATTTTTTTACTGATACAGTATCTACATTAGATATATGATGCTGGTGACTTCTCTCTTCTTTGTTCAATTACTGCACCTTGTGGTGAACGCTGGATGTCTGGAGATTTTTTAGCTGCAGATAGAGTTATTTTATGGAGTGATGAAGGTCATGGCTATCTCTATAAATTACCAGCTAAGTACGTTTTTAAATAAAATATTTTTTTTTTATTTTTAATATATTTTTTATATTTTGAACTTGTCATGAAATATTAAAATTTCTAGAGAAATTATTGATAATGACAAATTTAAAATATATATATATAAAATAAAGATTTGATAGTATAAATTTGAAATATTAGATTATACATTTAATAGATTATTAATTTGTTGCTTATAGGGTTCTGGTACATCTTGAAAGGTAGTGTTTTTAAATTAATGTTGCCAATTATCTGAATAAGAAAAGAAATTTATTAAAAAAATGCTTAATTTTGTAGTTTTATCAAATACTAATATGTATTTATATATTCTAACAAATTTTAAAATAATAAAATAATTACAATTTAAGCAGTATGAAAGCTATAGAAATGTAGAAATATTTTAAAAAT